CGTGCCCCAGTAGGAGTCAACTGGTGGATCCGAGGCCGGAATTCTCAGCGGCTTACCGTATTGTACCGACTGGGCTCGACCGCCGAACGCGACCGGACTGCAGGCGGCGGTTATCTCCTCTTATCTGAGAGCAGGGCTTCCCTTCGTCCCCCCGCCCGCCTCCCCCGATTCTTGTCGGTCTTCTCCAGAAGTCACTGCCTTAGTGGTCTTTTCCTGGAGTACTACTTGATACCCTCGCCTCAGGCTGCGACACGCTTTCTGTGCTTAACCGCCCCCGTCCATCCCGCTGCTCCTGTTCCATAGGCCTATCCGTTATCGACACCCGTCCGAACCGCGCTGCGCTCTCACCATGGCCATTCATCCGAATTTCCCATCTGAAACGAATCCGAGAGGATCTCTCTCGCCACAGCAGGCTCGCGCCATCTCCGCTTGGACTGAACAGGCAGCTGCATCTTTGGAGAGTCTGGCTCTCTCGGAGTCAGTACCGATCACCGATTCGAATGTGGTCTTTTCCCAGTCCACTCCTACGCGCGCAAGCGTGCGCGGCACCACAGTCTCGCTATCAATTCCCCTAGATGACCCGGTACCGACAGTGGGAAGCCCTTCCGCGCCTAAGGTCAAGGTCCTAGCCCAGCCAACCAAGGAGACCCAGGTGGCGTCGGTGAACTTCCGGCGCCGCGAGCCGCTTCGCCGTGATAGCCTCAAGAGGCGCGAAGCCTTGTTGAAGGGAAAGGATGGTAGTCGTCGCAGACAGCGTTGGGAGAATGGTATGTCTTGATATATCGGAATCACGCCACTGGCTGGGCTTCCGCGCTTCTCCTAGGCCGGGCATGCCTTTGTCTTTGCACTCGATAGATGCTGACAGGATGTGCTTCTTGCAAAGACCGTCTTCTGAACAATCCATGGGCTGAGCCACCTTCCTCCAAGGATTGGGATATCCAGGCCACCCACACTCGTCACGACCCTATGCCTTACTACCTTGCACCTCTCTGGGACAACCACTATGCGCATCTGGACCATAGGTCATCCCAGCAGGTGGAGACCCGGACTGAGAAGCATCGTGTCCCTAAGGAGCTGCGACAGAGACTAAAGCATGCACGTGCGGCACGTGGTATACTTCAGGATATTGAAGAAGACATCAGACAATTCATCCAGCGATGGAACGAGAAGCAAGGTTTACTGAAGCAGGAGGGTCTGGCAGATGCTCCACAGTCATCCGACAGTGAATCTGAAGACGAGATCGTGTTTGTTGGTCGAAACGGCCTGATGCATGACTCGCCACAGAGAAGAGCACGACTGCAAAAGATGCGCGAGGCAATGAGTGCTCATCATGAGCATGATGGGCAGAAGATGGTGTTTGAGAGCCTGGTCGACGACCGGGCAGCTGGATTCGGGTAAGTGTAGAATCACCCAGTTGTAACGTCGATCCATACTTATCGTATGTTCTCACCTTCAGTCGCTGGCTCGTCCATTCCATCGCGTCATATTACGGCTTGCACACTTGGTCTGTCACCGTCGGTGAACCTGCCCGCCGCGAGGCTTACGTTGGCTTCTATCCGCCAGCTCCAGGCAGCCGAACAGGGCCCGTATCCCCACCGGCAGGGTCGAAGGCTTGCCGTCAGGAAGCGATGATTCAGCCAGGCGATGAACTGCCTCAACCGCTCTGGACGCAGGTGTGAGCCGTTGACTTCTGACCAATTCAAGTCAACTTTCACAACTTTGCAGTTTATTCAGAGCTTCTATGCGTTTTGATTCAAGGATATGTTTCGGGACTGATTTTAATAGTTATCTCTTGTAATATTGGCGTCGGTGGGATGTCTACTTACTGCCTGCGGGGATATAGATCCTGTATATAAGGTAGGATAGACCAAGACCTACAATTGATTTGGGCACATAGGGAAGGTGACGACCCGCATGGATTTGTAGAGTAAGTATCTTCATGACGCGATCATCTTCACACATTATTCTATCCACTGTAAAATAGAAGATCTCTTATCTATGATCAATCTCTCCTATGCCCTCACCTACCTACAGAATCGTAGCCCCTCCCGATTCTCCAATTCTGTCTCGAATCGTCCAGGGAGAACTGGATATGGGCACGTATATCGGAATTTTGCAGTAATTTTGCAAGATATATGGGTGGAATCCCCACCTACCAGCATATGCTTGATGCGTCGTTCACTTACCATATGGATCTGGATCTAGTATTGGATGAACCCTTAGTGGACCTGAGATAGCGAGGTACGAAATACTCAAGTTGTGAAGGTGAAGTTTTCCTTCATTGGCAATGTGGTGAAGTAAAGATTATCCTTTCGTTTTCAACTCACTGGCCATACCGTCACCATATCGATATCAGTATGTAATAAGGCAATTAAGGTATATTCCAGTACTATGGGGGCTGCAGTGAGCAACTAATATGCTAAGTTACTACTAGAGCTAGTAGTCTCTCGTTGCTAAGGATAATACAAGCGTAGTCAATTAGCGGGACGTATCTATCACAACGAGGTTGGGTTCTGGTAGTATAGTATCTAATTGTATATAAATCTGTAGACTCAATTCAATTCCAGTTTCAACGGGACTGATGATGACACCAGTTAGCCTTGGGCATTGATGGAGACTCTCAACCCTTTTTTTCAACAAGTTCCTATTATGTGGTATGCATAGTTCATAGTGATAGATAGATACTAATGTGCCTGAAGTTTGATAGTATACGTGTTTACATATCTTATCTGTTTCATGATGCAGGTTAAATTCATTAGAAAAGGGCATGGAAAATTATGAAATAGTAGACAATGGCACGTATGCTATTAAAAAGGATGTCAATCGTTAGTACGACTACTGAAGTAGATAGCAGCCAGTAGATTCTCATCAGGCAGACATGTTGTTATGTTGATGATGTCTCCGGGTGTGACTGTGACGTATTGGTATGTACCAGCCAAGTCAATAGTACTAAGCAGATAGCCCCTCCTCCTTCTCCATCTTTCCCGCCTTTGACATACCTGTGGTGATTCAATGGATTGATGAGATTGACCAAGGCAGAAAGCCAATTGCAAAAGTCAGTGTCAGTGCCAGTGGCATTGTTGGAATCCTGTACCACCGTCAGCCGTCAGCTTACATGTTGATCTGCGATACCGGTTTTAGGTCGGTCCGGTGGTTCCGGGTCTAGATGGTCTAAATGATGCTGCTATGCAGCAGGCTGTCATTGAGAAAAGAAGAGTAGGGTACGGTTGCTGTTGACAGCGTGGATATTGCGTAGGGAAAGGGTACGGGATCGATTGAACACAACAATGGGTGTGACGTATTATGCAACGACAGTATCTCTTGTGTTGGTTCTGCAACAGCAGATCACTTCAGACCTCGGGTGCATGTATGGTGCAAGGGACTGGGTATCATCTATCTGCTACTACGGAGTAGTAGTAATGTGAATTGCTGTTCACTTACCTGATTAGGAAGTATTGGATGGATGCTTAATTTAGTAGTAGACTGACTGACTGCACTGATGCCTTGGTGTCAATATCTCCCGTGCGCACAATGAATTGATTGGCGAGAAAAGGAAGAAAGATGATCATAGTTTCAGGTGTCCATTTAAGCGACTGTGGAATGTCAAATCATCTCCGATTTTGCGATGGAGAAAGGAGAGCGAGAAGAGAGGAAATAGAGGCATCCATAGACAAGCGAGGCAAGGGCACTGACCGCGCCCCACTTGGAAGCCCCATCGTTGTGGGGGTCGTCAGGGAGAGAAACCGGAATAGGGTTCGCGTTTGAGTTTTTGGGTGGGAAAAAGACAACACAGAAGCCCCCCAAAGCCCGGAATCCATCTCCCCACGTCTTCGCCTCCAAAAGTCGCCTCTTCTCACATGTAATTCCCCGGTGATCGGTATATCTGTGTCGCACCACCTTTAGTTACCCTCAATTTTGCTGACTATGTGGCGAGATTGATCGAAATGCCTGAAGGGAGAAGACAGAGTGAGCATGGGCGATTATTCATTCGGTCCGATCCGAGGAGGCGACCCCAGTCGGTTCCATGGTACTGTTTCCCACCGTTGGGTCACTAAGTACTGTATAGTCAGGCATCGATCTGATAGATGTTGTGCACTTGACCATTGGTATTTCCCTGGTTTCTCGTTTACTATTTACCTCCTTGTCTCCGGTGACAAAGTACTACTTTCACACTACAAGAAAAAGAAAAGCTAAGCAGACGAATTGTTTGTTGATAGGTTGTCGGCAATTCTCCATCCAGCGTTCGGACAGCAATGAACATTTCCCACTCGACACCGCGGGCGAAGCACCAAGTACGTCGCCGATTCCCTGCAGGGACAACGCCCAGTCTGCGCCGGATCGTGTCTTCCGTCGACCTTCTTGCTGCAACCTTAGCTATACGGTAGAATTCACATATAAACAGGCTTTAACTGTCTTGGGCTACGGCACCAGTCAGGAAATGTCCGCATTTGGGAGTCTCGGAGAATATCCTGGACGCACAGGAGAAAAAGGAAAGGACCTGCCGAGAGATGCCTTTGCAAGGGAAAGGTAACTCAAGATAAGCAGTATAAACCTTGTCTGGGCGATTCTAGAACCTCGTGGTCGTAGCGGTCGGAATAAGGCACGAGTCATCCCAATTAGGCTGATGATGTAGCAGCCATAGTCTGAGACATAACAATGATGCTTGGGGCTCTGTAGATGCGCATGGACTGTCTTTGCAGTTGGGGTCACTTGGTGGTAGTAGTAGTATCAGTAGCACTACCGTCAGCCAAGGTCTCAAGGGCAGTTGAGTCAAGGCTGTAGGCAGAATCCTTGCTGATCAGTCAGTCAGTTAGTCAGTCAGTCAGTCTTGCCTTTGGAAGATTGAGTACCGGCTGGATCTGCTGATTCCGAGGACAACGAGGATATTGCCAGCATCACCAGTACAGCATCACCCGCACTATTAGTGTGGGTGAGGAAGAGTAAAGCACAATCTGAAACTTTGTGCTGTAGATAAAGTTTAATGCTTCGTCCCTTTTTTTTTTTTTTTCTTTTTCTTTTTTTTTTCCTTTCTATTTATTTCTTTTCTTTTCTCCTAAAAGGAACAAATTCCGATGACCAAAAAAGGTCAAAATGAAAAAAAAAAAAGAAAGCAACTGGGTCAACCAACAGGAATGTGAGAGGGAGAGAGAGCAGTGAGAGATGGCCAAGTCAGTCAATCCATCAGTTGGCTGGTTGGTTCTCCGCTGGCCGACGTGGCTGCCCTCGCCAGGCGTTCATTTCCCATCCTCCATTCCGTGCTTTTTGCCCTTTGGCTCTCTTCTATCTTCCGTTGCGACGGACTTTCTGCGCCACGCGCATTTTCCTTTCCCTCCCACTCACTTGTATGTAGGTGGGAGGAAGCCGTGTGTCAACTCGGTCGCTTCATACCCTGAAACCCTCCCTTGTGCTGCAAAGCCTGGCGTCATCTGCCATGATTCACGGCCCCCTTCCACATTCCCTCCATTCATTCGCTTTCTCACCCCTCTCGGATTGTTCCAGGGCTGAGTTCAGTTCACAGCCTGATCTTGACCTCGGATTCCTGCCCGCTCTTTGTCCCGATTCACGATTACTGTTCCCATTATTATTCTACACCCGTGTTTATTCTTACGCCAATTCCCTCCCCTCCAATCCCTCTCTCACCCTCTCTCTATCCGTTCAATCTCGCCTGTCCCTGCCGCCGAAACACCCCTCCCTCCTCTTCATCTGACCCAAAATTATCCTGCTCTTGGATGAATTTTGCATCATTGTGCACTGCTTTTCCCCAAGTCTCCTCACGTACGGTGTCTGAGACGGCTGGGGCTGCTTCTTGTACGGAAGAAAGTTGTTTGGACCACGAGATCAGGCTATGATTGAAATACAACATATTTATCCCTACCTCATCCTGTGTGCTTAACTCGCTACCACACTCTTTGAATTTCTCCTTTCCCACCCCCTATATGCAACATATCCCTTAAGCTTGCCTGGATTAGGATTAAAGTGCTACTGTCGGATCGGCTCGGGTATCGAAACAGTCTCTTGTCACTCTTCGACCGGCCAGAAGGATACCCAAACTATACGCCAACATCCTTGCACGCCTGCTTGGTTATTATCGCTTCACAACCTATCCGACGGCTCCCTATCACATTAGCGCCGTCATGGGATCCCATGGTGCATCGTCTTACCGGAATGGTTCGAGGACTGGTGGCAGTTCCAGTTCCACTAACAGTGATGTCTCGGAACGCTCGAAAAGCACGGCCCCTACGATCTACAGCGATCGACCCACTCCCCTTCACAGAGGAGGTATAGACATGGACATTTACGATGAAGAAGATCCTAAAGCCTCGGTGTCGACCTACGCCTCTACCATCCCGTCGGAAGATGATCCCCCAGAGACCCCGCGCTACGAAGTAATCGACCGTCAGCTGGACGTATTCTCAACAGATGTTGTCCCTTCCGACCCGTCGACTTTTGGGCAGCTATTCCCTTCCTCTCGACGACTCCTGATTCGACACGACGATGCGACACTTGATGGAAACATGAACCTCCGCGTCGACACGATGGTGCCGCAAAGAGGTGGATATCAGCAAGATGTAACTTTGTTCCATCTTCGCATGTATGACCTGTTTACGCGAAAGTGCTCTTTCCGACGCTACTGTCGAGACTCTGGGCGGGAAGTGTGCCACTCAGAACGACGGCCTGTCGCATCGAGCTCGGACAGGCATCCGGTGTTTCGACGGTCGTGGGGTAGTGTGCTGGCTAGCTTGCGGCCGGGTTCAAGTGGCCACGGATCACTGCCTAGCCACGAGCATAAGCGCCAGGACTCGGGCTATAGGTCGGCGGAAGATGATGAAGAATATTTTGAGGACAAGCATTCAGAACACAGAGGTGGCGGGGATCGCCATTTTGTGCTAACCGATAGCACTTTACTGGAATTTTCAAATTATGCTCACGTAGAGCTGAGGCGCCGAGGTGCAGGTCTTTCCAAACGATATGAATTTGAGTACTGGTCGACCCGGTACCAATGGAGACGCGAGTGTCGGAAAGATGGAGACTTGCGCGAAGTCTCCTATCACCTGGTTAACACACGCACGTCCAAGACCGTCGCTCATATCGTCCCAGAGATCCTGACCCCGATGGAGGCAGCTGAGGAGGAGAAAAAGGGAGGATGGGTTCCACCATCATCCATGTGGATCAGTGACCCGTCAGTGTATGAGAAGATGCCCGACGTCGCCGAGTAAGTAAATTCAATTCCCCTCTACTTAGTGTCGGGTCGAAGGTCTTCCTTTTTAGAGTTTGGGGCTGACTAGTGTACAGTGTGTTTGTTGCCACAGGCCTAATATCTTTTGTTGACGATTGCATTCGCCGCCGATGGCACACGAAGAGACCGTCCCAATTCATCCAGCCGATGCGATCAACCCTCTCGAAGAGTATTGAACTCATGGGTCCCCGGCGATTTCTCGATGAGGTGTTCCACCGACGAGGGTCCGCATAAAGAATGATAGGCTATCGATGGAGGAAAAACGGATGGTCAAGGGCGACACGGCGGCAACACGTCATGCCATCGTGTTGTGAGGGGAAAGACCGGTTTGCAACCGGCGCAGTTTTCATTGACAGGGGTCGCTAGCCGACCACTTGGCTCTAACGACGATAACGACCGCAAATGATGATGGGATTTCCTTTTTCTTTTCATTTTAGTATTTTTTTTTTCTTTTTCTCATTGGGAATCGGCAGGGGGGGTGGTTCGCACTGAATTTTGGTTGGCTCATGTGCTCTAAATTCTTCTTGTTTACTTCTTCTTGGTATTTGCGCAGCTGAGGGGAAGAGGGGGTGGTACATTTGGGCGGTTGCCGGAAGGACAGACCGGCATGATTGGCGATGATGTGTTACAGGAACCGGAGGGTCGTGCAGGTTCGGATGAGGGGGGGTTGACTGACGGTGGTGTTGGTGATGGTGGCAGTGGTGCTTGCTGGATGTAGTATAGTAGTTACTTACTATCTAGCAGTACTTACTACTAATAGTACTAGGCAAGCAAGTGGGTGGTGGTGGTGTGAACCTGAGTTGGCTGCCTGTTTCAGCCTCACCTTTTCTCTCTGCTGGCGTCTTCCTGGTACTATATTGAATTATGATCAGCATTGATCTTGGGGATGACGCTTGCGCATGTCAATTTAGAATGCTGCATATCTCATGAACCTAATGCCTAACCAACCAGCCACCGTGGACCTTTTTTTCTTTTCTTCTCTTCTTTTTTTTTTTTTTTTTTTTCCTAATTATTCCCGCCAGCTAGCTAGCTGTCGACTCTTGCTGTCCCGGCCGGGGAACAGGACCCGCGATTATAGTTCGTTCCTTGTCTGCCTGACTTGTTCAACCCCTGGTCTGGACCAGATCAGATGGCAAGCGAAGAGGACAACATGCATGATCTGGCTAGGCTTGAAAGGGGAAAACTATTTAGAAAAATATCCAAGAAGATAGTGCTGCTGTGCTGATGAATGTACACCAGAAAGGGAAGTGACGGAGTTGAGTGGCAGCCAGGTACACATCCCCCTCGGGTAGAGGTACTACTACTACTACTACTACTACTACTACTACTACTACTACTACTACTACTACTACTACTACTACTATTCCAGTATGTTACGGGACAGTGACATGATTACTGGAACCTGGATAACTTCTTCTATTCTTCAATACTATCTTCTCTACCACTGCCCAGCAATCGTTCTAATACTCTACTCAACTCCATCTCCAGATGAAACTCCGCCCCAAACTACGATGATGCGGGGCAGATCGAGGCTCGTCGCCAAAAAAGAAACGCAACGGCGCGTCGAATCAACGGGCTGGTCGCCGCCTCGAAAAGCGGTTCGTGGAAACGTTCCAGCCTTCCCCGTTATTTGGCGCGCTGGTTATCAATCTTGCTTGCTTATGCAGGTTCTTCACCACTTTCCACGATTTCCTTGCTGCTTCCAATAAACTAACAGAGAAAAAATAATTAACACAACACCCCCCCGGTCTCTTTTCTTCCCTCCCTCCCCCTTCCCTTTCCCCATTAAGGTGGTTCGCAAGTAGTCGCATATTGCAAGCGAAGAGAGATTGAACTGAAATGATGCACGTATGAATGCCCAACACAATGCCAGAAGAAAGCAACGAATCATGGCATCTCAGCTGCCGGAAATGGTCTGGGTCAAGCATATCCAGCTCGCTCTTCGCTGGCAATTTGTGTCTCCCTCAGAGTGATTCGATTGATGCACAAGCTGGCCTTCCAACATTATTTTCTGTTTCCAGACCCCTGCTGAAGGTTTCGCTTTTCCCCCCTTCCGGGTTATAGTGATGCCATCAAGCAAGCTCTGGCCACCCTGGAATCTGCAGCCCCCTTCCCGATAACAAGTACCCATGCAGAGCGGCCCGGTCAATGACCGTTTCGTTCTAGGGCTGAGGGTAACCATTTGATGGGTCTAAAAATTGACAATGGCTCGAATTTTTCTGATTCGAGTCTTTTTGATGAGCTGGCACGCTGGTCTTTGGGCCCGCTTCCAATATTCTGAGTGGCCCAACTGGTCGACATAAAATCATACTCTGGCTTCGATTCGTCACTATTCGGTCTATGGGTCCCCTTCCTCCGCTTTTGGGCAACTACTAGGCCTTCCAGGTTCCCCGTCAACCGTCCCATGCCTTCCAGAAAGAGACGGTCCTCCTTCCTGAAGAGCGTCTATGAGGCGAGTGGCTTGTTCCTACCCGATGTATACATCGTTTGCGGCACAGGAGATACAGAACTCGAGCCACGATGACCGGGAGTCCAGGCGTCCTTTCTGAGTTGTCAAACAGCACTGGCTGCGAACTGGCAGATTTTCGGTTTTACCCCCTGTATCACAGCTTCTTTTCTTTGTCTTGGATTATCCCCCCATCACCCCCCCTGTCTGTCAGTAGATCTGGCCTAGGTGGAGACTAGCGGTCCTATTCCCTGTCTCCTGGCGTTTCTTCAAGGGCACACATTCAATCGGCGTGCGCCGGCCCGTTCCAGCTTGCAGCCTCAAAATGATCCGCATGTACTCCATGCAACTGGCGTTCCCTGAGTGGAGGAGGATAAGGAGGGGAGGAAATTGCTGACACTGTGCCATGTCCACATCGGCATGCATAAGCCCGTCCATTAGGTTTGATGATTAGGTTCCGTGTTTGTCACGCCAAACTGGTCCTGCTTGCACAGTAACAATTCGGGGTTTGGGAGGGATGGCCCACAGTTTATATGACTCCCCGCTTCCCAGGTCTATCGACGCTGTTCGATTGAAAGGGCAGACCAGTTCGCAAACTTCCCCAAGCAAAGTCAAGACGAAGCAACATAGCCGGACAAAATTTTTATATCTTTTCATCTTGAACCCTCATTAGTCCTGTTCATTTCTACTTTGACAGATCTGACCATTCATTGGTGTTGTGTGGTCGAAAACCCCCCTTCCTATTAGTTTCAATTACTCAGGGTGTGAAGTATTGTCTGCCGTGTGAGAGAGTTTTGTTCTCCAACCGTTGTGGGATATCGAACCCAATTCAGATCTGCGCTTTGATTTCTCTTTGGTGAAAACCCAAAGCGAGTCATTCTTACCAACTGTTTTCTCTACTACGAAAAACACACACACACACACTTCATCATGGCCACCAAGACTTCGCAGGCCGCAAAGGAAAGCAAGCTATGGCAGGACAGACTTAAGAGTATGCCCCACTCCGCTGCAATAATCTTCCTCTCTGCACTTTCGACTTAGCCGTTACGGCGGCCCCCTTCTTCGTCCAAGTCAACTAACCCTGATTCCCTCACAAAGTATACTGCCTGGAGAACAAATTGGAGGAGCCGTTCTACAATTACGAATCTGATCGTCGAGGTGAGAAGTCCTTTCTTCCTATCCCCCTCCCCTCCCCCCAGCCGTCAACTCTCCTGATTACCCCTCGTTGTTGGGAGTTCCTTGTCCTTTTCTTGCCCCTCACTGCTTGCTGTTGCCCACAGTGTGCCTGTGATGGCAAAGCTAAGCTCTGCTTCACCGACTTTTGAGCCTCCCCATTTCAAGCAAAAGGTCTGGTTATACTGACGGGTGTGTCGCTGTTCAGGAGGTCGCACAGCTTGGACCTGTAAGGTCACCGTTCGGCACCATGTCCCGGGAGTCCCGTGGACGATTGCAGGACGATACTTCTTCGATGGTGATAATAATGCCCGAGAAGATGCTGCTGAGGTTGCCTGGAGGAAGTTGACCAACAACCCTAGTGGTAAATGATGGGGTGCTGATTACAATGTGTCTTTGTCCGTCGAGGGGCTGTATTTCTAGATCTTGTCTGGATGTTTACCGAGAGAATGACTCATGTCTCTCTCTTCTCCCTCGCTCTCGTCTATTCCGGTCCTTTTATGATTCTTTTATTTTCTACGCTCAGTTTGCTTGTTATGTACGACGCCATCCGGATTGATGCCTACTCCTCGAGTCTCGCAGACATGTACAACACTTCGGATGTCGACAATTGACCTTTCCCTCTTCGTTCTCGAGACTTGTTTGCTCTTCTCCCGCTCGATTCCCTTGATTATTCCCCAACGCAGAATGACACGACAACGGTATGGGGTGGAATGTGGACATGGCTGAGGCTCACTTCCTGCGGGAAAAAGGTTACCGTTGAGCGGATGAACCTTGGCCCCTGTCTGTTCTGCAGTGTGCCCTTGCCGGAGTCGGCTCGGATGGTCCGGTCATATTGATTTGATTCAATCCGCAGGCGGCGAGCGCATTTGACAGTCCTGTAGTCATCTGCGCCAGTTCTTTAAATCCGACAGTCGGGCCCCGAACGAATGCTTTAGGACGACAGAAGAGATTCGTGCGATGTGCGATCTTTTTGGCATTTTGACCGAGTTAGTTTTGAGGCCTTTCTTCTCTTCCCTCCTTGATCGTGGTAGCGATTCATACTGCCGGTCTTTTTCTTTTCTTCTTCTCCTTCTTCTTTTTTTTTTTTTTTTTTTTTTTTTTTTTTTTTTTTATCTTTTACTTTCCTCCTATGCCCGCTTGGCCATGAAGCAGAGAGGCGTCCATCGCCCATGCATACAGGACAAGCGATCGTTAGTGCGGAGCAGAAGCGACTTGCTGTGCGCCAACTGAATGCTGGTAAGGGAAGGAGGGGATTTGACAAAACAACAAGAAAAGAAAAGGGGAAAAAATCCTTTCTTTTTTTTCCTTTTTAGTTCTCACAGCGTTTATGGGTGGAGTTGAGGGAACATCTCGGGAATTGTTTTCTTTTCATCTATTCCAGACCGTTGTGTCTTTCTTATTTTTGGCGACAGTGCCTGGTTGGGAATAGCCCCTCCATGGATTGGTGTAGAGACTAATGTCTGCCGGGGTTCAAATTTTTTTACTTTTTATTTTTTATTTTTATTTTTATTTTTATTTTTTTCATATTTATCCCATCTATTTTTGAATGAAGTCATACTTTCAAATTGAATATTTTTGGTTATCTTTCTATTTGGGAACCGAGCAGTTCCTCAAAATCAGCCCAGTCAAT